TAAACCAGATTATGCTTTGGCACAATCGCTTGGGACATATTTCTTTTAGTTCTTTGAAATGTCTTTTCCCAAAGTTGTTTGAGTCTATTCAATTATCTACTTTGGAGTGTGAGAGTTGTCAGTTAGGAAAGAATTGTAGACAGTCTTTTAAACCAAGTAATAAAAGAAGTACTTMTGCTTTTAATAWTRTTCACACTGATGTATGGGGGCCATATCAAATCCCTTCCATGGGAGGATTCTGTTACTTTCTCTTGTTTGTAGATGATTATACACGATATTCTTGGATATATTTGATGAGATCAYKTGAYGAGGTTCCTAACTTAGTAYGACAATTCCACCAGATGGTTCTCACACAATTTGGAGTGAGAACTAAGGTTTTTAGATCAGATAATGCCAGAGAGTACTTTGAGAAGAACCTAACCACGTATGTCTTAGAACATGGTGTAGTTCATCATAGCAGTTGTGCATATACACAGCAACAGAATGGAGTTGCTGAGAGGAAAAACAGACATATTGTGGAGGTGGCAAGGAGTCTTATGGTGTGTGCTTCAGTTCCTGTGCAATTCTGGGGAGATGCAGTTTTTACAACCATACATGTGATTAACCGTGTTCCTTCACGGACTTTGGGGTTTAGCGTGCCATTTAGCCTCCTTTTTCCAGATGGAGAGATATTTCATATACCTCTGAGGGTTTTTGGCTGTGTTTCTTTTGTTCACATTCTTGGCCCTCATCGCAAGAAATTGGATCCTAAGGCCAAGAAATGTGTTTTTCTTGGGTATGCTCAGAACCAAAAGGGGTATTGCTGTTATGACCCAGTGTCGAGGAGCAGATTTGTCACTATGGATGTTACCTTTTTTGAATCCACATTCTTCTCGAGAGGTTCTCCTCAGGGGGAGAGTTTTGGGGAGGAGAACTCCCAATCTGTTCCTCTTCCTGTTTCTGTGGTGCCTCCATCAGTTCAGCCAGCACCTGCACTTCCAGCTTCATTACCTAAGCCACTACGGGCAGCCTCACAGCAATATCAGCGCTGGCAGATGATGGTTGACTCCACACATCCTCGACCCACACCACTCTCTGTCAGTCCTTCTAAAACTCCAGATTCGACAAATACAGTTCCAGGTATTCCTCTTGAGCCTGAGCCCGTTATGTTTTCTGATGATAATGTTTATGTCCCTAACACCATTGTTGCAGCTGATCCCACTGACCTTGATCTTCCCATTGCACTTCGTAAGGGGAAGAGAAAGTGTACAGCCCATTGCGCTTCACAGAATTAATGGTGTGGATGGTGAATTGGTAAAGGATGTGGGGAGATATCAAAGAATGGTGGGCTGACTGCTGTATTTGTGTACGACATGACCAGATATTTCTTATGCTGTCAGTGTTGTGAGTCAGTACATGCATGCACCTCGGGTTCAGCACTGGAAAGCTATTGAGAGAATACTTGCATATCTGAAAAAGCACCCTGGTAGAGGCATTCTTTTCTCAAATCATGAGAATCTGAAGCTAGAATCCTATATAGATGCAGACTGAGTAG